CAAAATAAACATTCGTCCTAGGGTGAGTAAAGACCACTAAGGATAACGACAAAAAAAAAAAGACCACTAAGGATACTAAACACTTGGTGGGCACGGAGCGGATATCCGGGATTTTGGTGGTATTTGTTATTCGATTCGCTTTTTCCGAATAGTAAGTTTTCCGATTCGTATTTACTTCGTTAGTGACCGGATATCCGGCTGTTCGAATATCCGTTAAAATCCAAACTATTTGCCGGATATCCGATCCGTTAAGTATTTGTTTAAAATTAAACAAAAAAAAAGTTAAATAAAAAAATTTTAATCCAAAAATTATAAAATTTTATTAAAAATAGTAATATTGTATCAGAAACATATATTTCTTATTTTATTAATTTTATTCAATTAAACAAGAGCTTTGTGATGGGATATACCGCTCGATTGGAGATGAAAACACACCAATTATAATGTTTTAGTGTCAAGTTGGAGTTGCTCTTAGTGAAACAAAGAGGTCATAAATATTTTGAGAGAGGTCGAGTAAGCTCTCCATTCTCCAAGTTCAAGATTATCTCTGAGAGAGCCATGTGATACTGTATAAATAATTAAATATAGGCCTGAATATATCTCACATTCATGTTTGTTCTCTGTGGTGAATAGAGCCATCCATTCACATCACAATGGTGTTGTTTCAACGTTGCATCCTCACGCCAAAGTTGTCTTCATTTCAAGTTCAAACTTGCCGTATTGTTTTCACCCCACGCCAAGTTTGCGGGAGAGTATTAGGAGCCACAATAATCCAAAGATTATATCTTCTAAGAAGACCATTACTCTATGTAATTAGGTTATTAAAGCAAGTAGTCTTTTATATATAATTATTTAATGAGAACAATGAGACTAACCTAAAGAGTTGTCAAAGAGGCAACTCTCCTTCTTCCCCATTTTATGATTGAATCAAAGTATTATTAATCTTGGTGACAATCTAAAGCTCTTTTCTTTCCTTTAGTTTCTGTCACTAAATAAAGATTTACTAAGCTATTTGCCTATTTCATTTAAATTTCTCTTTTCTCTTTTATTAAGCTCTACAAGAGCTAGAATAAGTTTGTTTTGGCTTTGCCTACACACATAAGTTGAAACTTAATCATATATTTAAATTATATTTTCTTGTATCTTGTTTCACTCTTTAAAATAAACTAGATCCTGACCCGCACATACGTGCGGGATTTCATATTTTAAGAAATGTGTTGTAATAAATTTTTATTAAATATATGATTATTTTGTTGTTTTAGTGATATATATATTGTATTAAATAAATTATAATGTACACAGAAAAGTATAAAATGTTATTTATGTTTGCTTATCACACAATAGCAACCATAAGTCATTTTTTGGAGTTGAAACTGAAGAGTAGATTAGAAAAAAATCTTAGATTGAAATATAATATAAGTTAGATTGATGTAAAAAAAATATTATATAGTTATAGTATCTATAACCTAAACTCATATCAGTTGGTTGAAATATTTGAAATAATAATGATTTTAATAGTATTTTAAAATTCGTAACAATCAAACGGTCGGACCAAGATCAAACTGAATCGAATTAATGGTCAGGTAGATTTTTATTAAACTTGTGAACATTAAACTTGTAAACTATCAAACCGTAGATAAAACCGTTAAAATGATTAAATACGTTTGCGAGAAATAGAAATATTTAGAGATGGGCGTAATTCCCATTCAATTTTATCATGTTACATTATATCTTACCCGTTCTCCAATTTATATCTCATAAGAGAATGCATTTCTATTATAGGACAAATTTTGTATTCTCGATTTGAAACAGGACGTGACGGAAACAAAAATTCTCGATATCTTGTTTGGGACAAATACAAATATAATTCATTGTATATTTTATATGATGATATAATAAAAATATTACAAAATTAATTGACTTCTTTATTCTTATTTTTTTTATATTTTGTTCATAAATATTAAATTACATTTGTTTGTTTTTAAATTTTAACTATTATAGAACATACTATAATAACATTTATTATTTTGAACATTTTTATGCTATAAAAATTGAAAACACATGTTACATATTTGATTGCAAACGTTAATTTGTTTGAATTGTAACTTGTTCTAGTCTAAAATCTATGTTTTTATCCTGTCATGTCTCTTTCCATGTCGTTTCTGTTTCGTAATTCCTATTCTCGTTATATTACATTAAATATCATTTTCCGAGTTCATTTTTGCTTATCTTTAAACACAATACAATATACGGTTGTAAGTTTTGGGGATTAACATATGTTCTGTTATAATTTGTAAACATACCGTAAATTAAAACATGAAAACAAATTGAAAAAATAAATGATCTATCAACTAATCTTAACAAAATCATAAAACTAAGAGATAGTTTAATGTGAATAAATTTTGAGAATCATTTTGAATTAATTGTAAAAACTGTGTAAATTAAAAAGTAGCTTGTAATTAGTTAAATTAGTCATCTTGATTTAAATTCAATAGTTCCTTAAATTTAATATTTCTCATTTTGAAATATTTGCATTAAAAATTAAAACATTTGTATTTAAATTTATTTTAATGTTATTTGATACAAAATAATATAATTTATTTGATTTGAAATTGAATAATTTATTTGGAGATATAGTAACTATTATAGTACGTTTTAAAAATATATTAAAAATTTAGGTTAGTTTTATATATTTAAAATAATGAAAACTACCCATTTGAAAAAAAAATATATTCTAAAATTTTATATCATTTAAACTCTAATTAAATGTTAAATATTTTAGGGAAATTGTTAATAATGCCACTTTTTCAATGCCACTTTTCAAAAATACCCCTTTTTTAAAACCTTATAAAAAATGCTCTTAAAAATATAAGATTTACCCAAATATGTATGTAATATTATTGAAACATACACAAACTACATTTCTATGTATCTAAAATCTTATAAATACTTTATAAATACCTTATAAATGCATTTTAAATACCTTTAAAAACCTTTAAAATATCTTGTAAAACCTTTGAAAAACCTTAAAAATCCTTTAAAATAACTTGTAAAACCTTTAAAAACACCTTATAAAACCTTATAAATACTTGGATCGAGTATTCAAGTAGTAGTTACAATCCATAAGTACCTTATAAACCTAATAAAACTTTATAAAAATTTCAGATTTAAAAAGGGGCATTTTTGAAAATGGACATCTAAAAGGGGCATTTTTGAAAAGGGGCATGAGAAAAGGGGTATTTTTGCTAATCCCCCTATATTTTAATCTATCTTGGAAATATTTTCTAGATATTTACAAATTTAGAATCCAAAAAATTAGTTTTTGAATAAGCTGTATTTTAAAGGATGGAAGTATTTTGTTTAGATTATATACGACAAATATAATAAATGTTTTTTCATATTTGGAAAATCAAAATTGAAAAATCTTTTTTCCATGTGTACCAATCAGTATTAATTAGCATATTATTGTTAAGGAAATTTTTAAAAATCTAAACGAAATGATAATTTGTTATTAAGATTAGATTGCCATTTTCAAAAATATCTAATAATATCTTACGAAAATAATTTAGTTTACATATATGCAATTTCGAATTAAATATACACAATTACCCGTTTCGGTTTATTAATTTTCCTTCTTCAAATTTAAAAATATCAATGGTATTCTTTGTAATTATTTACCTTTTATAAGGTTATATTTTATCCAATGCTTCCCAATTAATAATATAAATCTACACTATTAATATCATAAACTTTTATAGATTGGTAACATCGTTGATAAATATTTCTCGTTGCAAAATTGATAATATCAATGATAAATATTTATAATTTTAGTATTTACCAACCTGCAAATATTTAATTTTATTTAAAAATATATTATTTCTATTATTAATTTAGTTTAGTTGGTAATAATTTAGTTTAGATTTTATTGTTAAAATATTTTGTATTTTTCAATTAATGACATTCGATTTATGTTGATTTTTTTTTGTTTTATCTCTAACAAATTGAAAAATATAAAATATTTCGATTTATATTCGAAATAAATATATTGATGCTGAATATTCAGTTATTATTTAATATTTAATGTTGTTTCCTTTTTTGTTTTTGTAGACAAATCATACCAAAAATATTGACGAAGCAAATCTCGGAATATATTGGATCATTTAATCTCGTTATTTGTTTTTGCAAAAAATCAATGAAGGATCCGAATCAAATATATTTATTTAGTTGTAGTAGTTGTTTATTTACTAAATTACCCATGTAAAAATTCATTTAGTTAGTGTTAAACTACCCTCACAATGTTGTAGTTCACAAAATGCTTCCCAATTAATAGTATAGATAGTACCGAAAAAATACTACTCAAAACAACTTCAGATAAATTTTACAATAGAACCACTAATCCTCTTACTTCTATTAAAGAAGAATATGTAATCGACTATGACTCTATACTATATAAGATCAGTTTTTAAAGTGTTAGAGATTGAGATACTAAAAATTGTTTATTTGATTAGTTTCAAACACAATTTAAGAAAAATAGCCCGCGGCGTAGCGCGGGTTTTAACCTAGTGTATATAATCTTTAAAGAAAATATTAAAAAGAAAAGAATAACAACACTCTCTTTACTCTCAGTTGAAAAAACGTTTATATTAATATTGGTGTTTCGTCTCAATGTACAGGTGTCTCTCTCTTATCGCCCCAAAAGACTTCTCGATACCGACGGCTTCCATAGCGTTGGTTTGTTGTTTTTTTGTTCCGGCTTAGGCCAATTTCTCTTTTCCGCCTAGTCAGATTTCAATAATTTTTAACTTAACTCCGATTAAGTTTAGATCTTTGTTTTGTTTTTGTTTTCTCTTCTTTTCTACAGGAGCACACATCACACGAACATGGCCGTTAGCATTCCCAACCAGTAAATCATAAACACCAAAAAGCTTATACTTAGTAATTACTTAATTCGAGCCACACAAAAGGTAGAAACTAAATTGCATGGAGAGAAATCAAACCTAAAAAGGCTCACAGGTTGATTGGAGAGTAAGCAATCGAGAAAAAGGTATTTTCATTTCGATGTCCATACATGTATAGGAAATAAATATCACTCTAGTACATCGTACATGCCTTGTGTTCTCCAAATCTCTACCAAACGCGCACTTTCTTGCGATATCTTGCTCTCTTTTGCCTATCCGCGAATCATAAATAACCTTTGAGAAGCAGAACCTAATACCTATCAATTTTCTTTAGTTTGGTGAATGAACCCCAAAAAATGTTTAATATTTTTTACCTTCATTCATAGTTTTCCAAGGTGACCTGACGCAAAAAGAGATTATAGTAGATTAATATTTTTAGACTCTCTTGTTACTCTAAGAAACTTTAAAAGTAGAAAATAAATGAACACAAGGAGAGCAAGTAATTCTCATATTTGGAGATACAAAGTGAGAATGATGCAATGTTGTTTGGTATTTTGGTCACAATATCAATCAGAGAATGATGCAATGTTGTTTGGCCTTTTCCTCGAGCTCCCTGGTCATTTTTTCAGCCTTCTCTAGATCCTCCCTCAGCTTCTTAACTACATCAGTTGAATGTTCCTCGGCTTCCTTTGCTCTTCTCTCCAATTCAAGTCTCGCAGCTTGCTCTTCATTCAGCTTCTTTACTACATTAGTTGAATGTTCCTCGGCTTCCTTTGCTCTTCTCTCCAATTCAAGTCTCGCAGCTTGCTCTTCATTCAGCTTCTTTACTACATTAGTTGAATGTTCCTCGGCTTCCTTTGCTCTTTTCTCCAATTCAAGTCTCGCAGCTTGCTCTTCGTTCAGCTTCTTTACTACATCACTTGACTGTTTCTCGACTTCGTTTGCTCCTTTCTCCATTTCAAGTCTTGCAGCTTGCTCTTGGTTTAGCTGCTGCTCTAGCCTCTCTCTCAACTGAGTCTCCACCTAAGCAAGAAATTCAGAGGCATGTTATAGTTAACAAAACTTTTTCTTCATAAATGTAAAAGAAAAAGATGAAGAGTGATACTAGTTAAGTTCATGACTCAATCTAACAATGAATATGAAAAACTCTATAACACATTACCCTCTCCATCATTTGCCTGAGCTGCTGATTTTCAAAAGACCTCTCCATATCTTTCATCTTTCGAGACATCTCTTGTTTTGTGTACCAGCCCTTCATTTCTAAAATATCCCTCTGCTTTATCTTGAATGCAGTCTCATTTTCCTGAGAAGAAAATGTAATACCGATAAGCGATATATCAAAAAGGCGGGATGTGTATTCAAAAAAATCATTTTTCTCACCCTTAGTTCGTGAGATAAATCATCCATGAATGGTTTCCCATTCTTCCTTGCAATCTCTTCAACATAGTTTAGGAGCTCCTGAACTTGCTTAGCTTTCTGACTCTCATGGGCTTTGGCCTTGTTTTGAAACAACACCTTGCGGTCATTGCAGGCCTTGAGAATTTCCTTTAACCATAAATAATTCAATAAGAGACCTAATCCATGTTTTTGAAGATCTTTAGTAAGAATAAAGAAAGAAACACTAACCTTGAAATCAGGAGAGTCTTCCAAATATTCCTCAAATGTATCACCATCCTCCTCAAGAGAATCTTCATTTGTAAAAACAACAATCATGTAGTCTACAATCTTGCTTCCAAACAAAATCTTTAATGCGAAAAGCGCAGATTTCTCCTCTTCTGTTAGTCGGTTTCTCAAGGAAAATACCAAAAGGACTGCATCAATCCCTTCTTTGGTCAGAGAGAAGCACCTTAAAAGCTCTCTGCACGTAAACTCGGTGGATGGAGACAGACTAAACAAACCTGCAAAGGTTTAAGATTATAAATATCATAGAAGACTCATAGGTTTGATAGTTCTTTGTTTCATACACATTACCAGGAGTATCAATAACATTGATGATCTGGCCATTGGGTAGAATTGAACTCTGTGACTCACAGACTGTAGTCACCCCTGATGCACGGCCTTTTGACTTGAAGGCTGGTTTTCCAAGAATGCTATTCCCGGTCGCGCTTTTACCGTTACCTGAACGCCCTACCAAAAGTAGGGTTCTTGCAGGTTTCTGCTCTAAACGTAAATCACAAGAAACCTCCAAAACCGGTCCATCATCTGACAAAGTTTCTGTCACCATTGGCAACTCTGTCAAACCAACCTCCATAACTGGTCCATCCCCTGGCAAAGTTTCTGCCACCATTGGAAACTCTGTCAAATCCAAAAAGATATTCATGTCAAACAAAGAACAAGGAAACCTTGTATGAAAGATAAACTGATTTAGGGTATATTTTCATGAGGGGCGGATCACTACAGCAAACAGCTTTTGTTTACAAAATCATTACATTTAGAAGAAAATTTGACTTGAGTGACTCTCACTAGCTCTCTATTTGTGTCTATTTTTTTAAGGCTCACTTTCTTTAAGAGTAAGGAACGTTTGTTGGTTATTAAGATAAGGAACATATGTTTCATGCTTCTCTATTCTGTAGAAGAAAGGACCAAAAAGATAAGCTCAAACTCTATTTTCTCAGAATTGCATAGAATCAATTTTTTCTATGAAATCAGCAAGACACATATCCTCTGTTTTCTAATTGCATTGTGGACTAATATTCTCTTCTTATTGCTTAAAGTCATTAGTGAGGGAAATAGATTCAAAGAGATTAAAGAAACAAATACATACCTGCTTGATCACTTGAGAATTCTTCTGCAACTCCTCCACCCATTTGAAAAGTGTACAGTTTCTACTAAACGAGATCTCTACACTTTCTTAGATAGGTTAGTGGGTTTTATATGTATAGAATGAAAGCAAAACGAGATCTCTAGACTTTCTTTCTCGTTTCTCAAGAACTTATTTGAACCATTAGTTTGGTCTTAAAAAAAGATTTAAGTACAAAAAAGAAAGAAAGGAATATCAACAGTCTCCTCTACACTCAATTGATGATAATGGTGTTTAGTCCCAATGAGTGTTTTTCTTGTCTCGAGAAGTCATAGAGGACAGCTTTATGTAATTATGTTAATGGAGACGTTATAGTTCCAATAAACCACATAATCTCTCCAAAAAAAAGTTAGTGATAAACCAATAAAAGCTTCTAATTTTAAACCAATTCTCCACTAATATATGAAGAAAATCCCACTAAGGATACTAAACAGAAAATTCATACGGTACAATGAGAAAAATATAATGTTCTTAACAAAAAACATTCACTAGGAGACATCATTAGGAGGAAAAAAAGACAACAACAATTTTGCCAATTTGGTCTAGGTCCGCGAGGATTAAAGATGGAATATAGACAAATTAAAGATGCATGTGTATACAGTATATGTAATTATAGAATATTACTCCGAGGTTGAGAATGGAAAATTTTAATCAAAGAATAGTGCACTTTTGTCAAGTTTGGCACGCAAGAAATCTCTCTTTCATGTGGCCTTTTCAAGCTGTTCCTCTCAGCTTCCTGATCTCATCAGCCGATAGTGTCTGAGTTTCGTTCATCTTTGTCTCAGCTTCCTTTCTTGTGGCTTCTGCCTTCGTTAGTTGTTCTTTCACATCCCTCAAAGATTCCTTTAACTGATTAGAGACCTGTCCAGAGACAACAAAACCAACATATATAAAGATGTAAACATCACATGTGCATGAACTAAAGATACGATAACCGATAAATGTATTACCCTTCTCCTCCATTCCCTGGAGCATTTTCTTATATGACTTCTGTAACTCCTTCAACTGAGATGTCTATACATTGTTCTAACAAATTCATCTTTGTCTGACTCCAAATTCGTCTCTTCAGCCTTTATTCCTCGGTTTTGCTCCAAAATGCTCCCTTATCTCCAAATACCTGAAAAGACTCTAAAATAACTCGAAAAATAATAAAAAGACTCTAAAACCAATACATATATTATGATTAAAAACCGTAAAAACCATGATATATCAATAACCATTATTAATAACATTGCCAAATTTTTACAAAACTTAATTCAGCAATTATCCCCTACAATGTGATTATAAACTATAACATTTTTCATAGTGATGGGTCGAGATATTTAACCATATAACCTATAAAAAGAAATGAATTTACATGTTGATCCAATCTATTTAAATTTGATAGATTCATGGGTTAACCCAATTAATTTAGCTTATAATTCATTTAACACTTAACTAATTAAGATAATATATTACATTGGGTTACTATCAATTTAGAAACATGTGAAAAAAATTAATTGAATAAAAATTAATACATATTATGAAAATCAAAAACGAAAAGTAAAATTAAAAAATCAAATAATAATATTTGACTGATTGTAGAAGAAATGGAAAGTAACTTCATAAATTTTATTTTAAAGTTTTTTCTTACAGGTATTTTTGTGGTGTTAATGTTTTAGTCCCATTTTTAGTTTTTACATTGTGGTGTTCATGTTTTGTCAAAAAGACTAGTAAAATGGTACACTTTTTGATTTTTTCAGCGACCTGAAATAAATCAATCAAAATCAGGATCTCAAATAGACTACAAAGGGACGACATTACTGTTATGGCTATTCTTCTTTCGAAAACCTACAATATGCAATGAACCATGGGATGCCAAGACGAGATGATTGGAAGGGTATTAGGTGTTGAGATTACAGGTTCCCTGATGGTGTTCTCGGTGACGACGTGAGACTCAAGCATCCACCTAAATTAACTTCTTAAAAATCATGGCACCACTCACCGGGAGTGTGTCAATCACAGTGATGATACTTCCATCATCGATCATAGTAGAATTCGTCTCACATATCACCCCAAGCGAAGACGTCCATCTATTGAAATTCTGAAAATTTGAGTTTATAAATTCATTTACATCTATTAAAATCCTAAATATTTGATGAGTGGTATCATATGATTTATGAGATTTTGATAATTAAGTGATAAGATTTAGAGTTTTTTTTTTTTTTTTTTTTTTTTTTTTTTTTTTTTTTTTTAGATTTAGAGTTGATTTGATATTTTCTCGTATTTAACTTTTCGTATAGTGGTAGGTTGGGTGCACATAGGTTGCACTTAGCTTATGTTTAAGCTTAAAGATACCATGTGGCGGTTTGCTATTGGCGGTCATTAGATAGAGATTAATCATGTGATGTGAGTTTAACACAACACGTATATGACAACTCATGTATCATTCGTTTAGGTTGGTATAAAACTATTTAGATTATGCAAATATTAAACGAAAAAATAAAAATAGTTACGATTTGGTTTCAGATGAATCTATACTCTATTAATATGTACCGTAATAATATGAATCAAAGTAAGTGCCTAAAATCATGAGTGAGTAATGATCTGGTTTGTTTATGCAAAAGGTTAAAGTCTCAGGTTCTAATTTGATGTGGTTAATTCAAATTGATTAGGTCCGGTGACAGAATCATCGAAAATTATTATATCTTCCGTCTATCAGCAAAGCCAACACGTATATTTGAGGTTAGGCACAAATGATTGTTTAGCATGTTATGCAATTGAATCCTATGAACTTGAATCGTCTAACATTGGTTTAATTTGTATAGACTCGAATCATATTGGTTTATATCTTATATAATTGATTTGTATGCTTGAAGGAGAGAATCATATGACATATGATTCATGGTTTAGAGAATTATGATAAGTTGTAGCATGTTAGTAGTAAAATATTTGATGATAAATGTATACTATAATGAGTAATTAGCATGTTCAAATTACATCTTAAGGAAAGAGTCATACGCCATAAAATGAGTACTTGAGATTTGAGAATTTGGTATAATTGAAGTAGTTAGATAGATGCATGATCCTATTACATGGATAATCATTTATGGGTTTATAAAGTGTCTGAGTTTCGTTCTTTGTCTCAGCTTCCTCTCTTGTGGCTTCTAACTTCATTAGTTGTTCTTTCACATCCCTCAAAGATTCCTTTAACTGATTAGAGACCTGTCCAGAGACAACAGAACCAACATATAAAGATGTAAACATCACATATGCATGAACCAGAGATACGATAACCGATAAATGTATTACCCTTCTCCTCCATTCCCTTGAGCATTTTCTTATATGACTTCTGTAACTCCTTCAACTGTGATGTCTCTGCATTGTTTTAAAATGATCCTACAGAGCTAGCTAGTAGGAATCTCTGCATTTGAGTTTGTTTAAAATGTTTTTTTTACAAAAATGCATGTCTACCTCTCTATTTGAGTTTCATTCCTTAAGCCTCTTCCTTCCAATTGGACATCTCTTGTTTTGTGTAGTGACCCTTCATTGCTCTAATCTTTTTCGCCTTTTCATCAACTACGACCTCGCTTTCCTGAGATGCATATTGAGACGGTTACTGACACGCAATTCAAAGGACATCATCTGCTACTTTAACTGTTATCAGTCATAACTCGAACTTGGAAGTTTTGTTTGATTGATGGTTAGGATTTGCTCACTTTTTGTGCTACAATTTAGAAGTAGCCATGGTCACAATATAGAATTGTTAATTAATGCCACAATATAGTTATCTCCTCTGTCCATAGGTTTTAAGTGTTTGTGAGCTTTCATATATATGTTTGCAGCTAAGAGGACTTTAGTCTTCCGTGTGGTTTCTCTCCTAAAGGCATGTCATGTCGTTTTACTTATGCAGATAAAGAAAAGTTTTGCATCTTATGGACTTCAAAATGAAAAAATGAGAAAATGAAAAAATTTCATTCATTCACTTGATAATAAAAAAGCTACCAACTTTACAAACATGGATTTGCGTTGGAGCAACACATACAAGATACTACAAGAATCGATCAGTCACCGAGAATATATAGGTGAATTACATATATAGATCTCAAACCCTAGTTAATACTTAGTAGTTATCATGCCCTCAAAAGCATAATCTAGAAGACGGACCCTAAACAATCTGTGACTGGCGTTTGGTAAGTGCTCGCCGTAAAAGAATCAGTGGCTCCCAGAAGTGGATTGTAGCCAGAAACATTCCAATCATCAGTAAATAGTGTCGGCGAAAAATCAAAATCAAGCCAAGAAGGATCCCAAACACCATTGTTGGCACAAACCCCCAAATTATCTGTGACCGCCATAAGATCCGCCGGGAAATAATCCCCGGAAAACCCTAACGTGAAAGGATCAAGTAGAGAAGAATCCGTAACACTACCAACATCCCTAGAAACCTTCGAAGCAGTAGAAGATCCAATGTTGGAAACAGTTTCGTGGGAGCCACGTAATACGTAACCCAACTCGTCAAATACACCACCAAACCCTAATCTCTGATCTTCAGACGAAGACACCTTGCGGTTTGAGATGGTGGCGTTGTTGTCTGAAACCCTAAGATGATCATCCTCTTCCGTTTCCTTCGACTTGGGCATCTTCAAGTTTCGTTTCATGATACTTATCTTTTGTTGCTTGACTCCAACTAAGTGAGAGTCAAGGTTAACGAGATGGTTCCTCAAATCGTCACCGGATAAACCCTTGAGATTAGGGAAGTCGTAGAGATCGCATGCGTGATGCTTCCTCTTCTGATCACTCAACGCATTGAACTTGGCCACAATTTCTATTAGGGTTTGTGGGTTATGATCTTGAGGTTGAGGCCAAACATGGAGATCGTTGTCAGGACCGTAACAGATGAAACCAACAGAGTTACCGCAAAGAACAGAGAGCTCTTTGGCTTTCTTCTTAAAACCAGGAAATCTCTGTTTGAAAAAGCTCTTCTTCCTCTGCAAATCATCATCATCATTGGACTTTTTTGGTTTTTTATCACGAGGAGCCATCTTGAAAGATCGTAAGAGAGAACTAAGGAGAAAGGTTTCAATCGTAATGTAATGATGGCAAGTGCAAAAGAGAAGGCATTGGTTCTGTAATATATAGAGACTAGAGAGAATCAGTAAGATGATGCTTTCTCTCAATCCCACAACGGTCATAAGTTTTGTGAAATCGCGTACAAAATCTAATTAGATCTTCTCTTAGATCGGTAGTAGTGACAGTCTTGCAACTTTTCCTTTTTTTTAGCTACAACCCATTTTTTTATTATTATTTAGCTATACGATTATATTTTCCTTAATATCGAAAAATCATTTCTTTAGTTTTTTTTTTCTTCTAATTTTCTTAAAAATATTCTTACAAGTCGATGCAGTCTTAAATGATTTCTAGTTTCTATATTTTTTTGATGATTGATGTATTACTCACCGGTTTATGGGATAGAGGAAATCGGTTATATCTCGATTGTTAGTTTGTTACACATTTGGTTTAAAAAATAATAATATTTATACATTGTCCCAAAATTGGATAAACCTAACCGATCCTCAAAATTCGCTTAAACCCTAATTAACTCGTGACTTCGGTAAAAACCCTGAGATCATGGTGCTTTTGTCTGAAACCACCCTATGGGACCTTCTAGAATCAAAATTGACCCAAATGGATAACGTGCATCATGCGTAGTTATGTTTTGTTTATTGTTAATTGTGTAGAACTGGTCTTATTTGAATTGTTTATTTATGTGACCATGTGAGTAACAATCTATTCACAGGTGATTAAGTTGAAGTTCATAACTAAGAACAACCATCTCTCTTCTTACAAAGGTAGATGACCGAACAGTGTGTTCGAGAGGCGAGTCTGTTTGTTCTTTGGGAAATTTCTTCAAGAACAGAGTTAACAACAGTTTTTTTTCGGTCTTTGTGATCTTATGTATATGTTTGTGCAATCAATTATGCTGAGGATTATGGCTCTAAATTGAGATTAAAACAAACACTCTTTCTTATTTATTAGTAATGTTTGAATTAAACTTGAATTGTCTAAGAATCTTCATATATATGGATTTCTTTTATAAGAGTAGGTATGACTTTATAGTTAGCCATTCTATGAGAGTTAGCATTTGTATGATATAAATTTACAGTTGATTTCTGAAAAAATGATGAGAAAATATAGGTATACCATTGTATATGATGTTGATTGCTCTCTTTGCCTCCTATTTTATATTACTTGTGCAGGAGAGTTATGGCTGAGGCGATGCTGTCGTTTGGAGTTCATAAGCTTTGGTACCTCCTTGTCGGAGAACCTGAGCAATTTCATGGAGTTGATGAACAATTCACTGAACTAAAAAGTGACCTAAACTTGTTAAGATCATTCTTGAAAGATGCAGATGCCAAGAAACTCGTTTCCATTTGCTACATATTAACAAGGTAAAGAGTTTCCAATAGTTGAAATACATAGATTTTATGTTAACGGTGACTTTATGTCAGAAATCATCACATAAAACCAGATAATTGATAGAAAGAAAAAGACTATAACAAACTCAAAATGTGCGTTGAGATCTCAGGTTGGAAAAGTTTGAAAGATCATCAAAGAATGATGCAACTTTTTTCCCTTTTCTCGAGTTCTTTTTCTGCTCTCTCGAGTTTCTCCTTCAGATTCTTAATCTCTTCGCTGGATTCTTCATGGAGTTTTTTCGCCCTTTTTTCCGCTTCAAGCCTTGCATTTTGCTCCTGATTCAGTTTCTGCTCCAGCAAACTCGTTGTTTCTATCACCTGAGCATTAACAAAGAACACCATTGTAAAAATTTCCCAACAACAGAAATTATTCTCCATCACGATCAGTTCTTAAAGAATTTTCCAAGAAACATGTTCACATCACAAAGCCTTAGTATAAATTTCTTAGAGACCATTGCGATGACTCGAAAACACCTTACCTTCTCTACTTTTTGGCTGAGCTGATGATGAGGTGAATTCACTTCCTCTTCCTTCCAATTGGACATCCCTTGTTCTGTGTATTTACCCTTCATTGCGCTAATCCTTTTCGCCTTTTCGTCAACTACGGCCTCGCTTTCCTGAGATGCAGATGGTTACTTATACTACAATCAAAAGAAATCAAGAAGGGAACATGCATTAAAAAAAAAGTTACCATTGTCTCATGAGATAAATCAAACAGAAATGGTTTTTTGTTGTTCTTCCTCTCAACTTCTTCAACAAGGTCTAAAAGCCTCTGAACTTGCTCTTTCTTGCGCTTACTTGTCCTAAGACTATTCTCAAACAGAACCATGCGGTTATTGCAGGCTGCGATAATTTCCTAGAACCATAAACAAATTAATTGATAAAAGTCACAATAGAAGGTGAAAATCTTCTAGAAAGATAAGAAGAAAACACAGTAACCTTGAAATCAGGAGAGCCCTCCAGATAGTCATTGATTGTCGCATTGTTATCCACAAGTGAATCCTCATTGGTGAAAACAACGATCAAGTAGTCAACAATAGCATCTCCAAAAAGTATTTTCAAAACAAAAAGCACAGATTTCTCCTCTTCTGTTAGCCTGCTCCTCAAGGAAAAAACCATAAGCACCGCATCGATACCTTCTTTGGCAAGATGAGAGCATTTTAATATTTCTCGGATGGTAGACTCGTTTGAGGGGAACAAACTAAAAAGGCCTGAAAAATGAATCATGATCAACATGTTTAGCATTCCCATGTTGTTAACGGCTCTCTGGCTCGATGATTTCAGTTTCATATGAAGAAGAAGAGGATGCAAACACACACACACACGCACCAGGAGTATCAATAACATTTATGATCTGTCCGTTTTGTTGCTTAATTAGCACTCTTTAGCTCACATTCTTTGGTAACAGCTGCTGCCTGTGCTTTTGACTTGAATGCCTCACTTCTGAGGATGCTATTCCCTGTCGCGCTTTTCCCGTTGCCCGAGCAGCCAATAAGGACTAGGGTTCTTGCTGGTTTCAGCGGTAAATCAGAATCACAAGCATCTTCAACAAAAAAAAGAAAAAAAAAAGACTCTTGTCAAAGGCAAATCTATAAATGTCATATCAAAGAATATCTTCTCTTTTTTTGTATAAAGCAATGAGTGAAACAGTGGTAGTAGTTCTACATTACTAACTGCAAGACTAGTAAGACTGTGAGAGAAAGAGATTCGAAATATTTGAGAAAAGTGACATACCGTGACCAGTTTTGAAATCATCTGCTACCAGTCCTCCACCCATTTGAAAGTTGACAAAGTAAATCTTAAAAAATAAAGATTACAGGAATATATGAAGAGATCTTTGGACTCTGTCTCTTTTCTCAAGAACTCATCCGAACCATATATAAAAGATAGAAATGGAGAAACTACTAAGGAATATCAACGGTCTTTATTGATGCATGTGGTTGAATATGTTTAGTTCCAATGGTAGTTTTGTTATCTCGAAAATGCAAAGAGGAGAGCTTTACTTTTAAGTTAATGGGTACATGATTTCAATAAACCCTTGTCGAGTAATTAATGCACTCACTTTAGGTTTTGAAGTAGAAATATCATCCACTATAAAGAGATATATTTAGGAATGAGATCACTCAATTTGTTATATTAGCATCAAAGATTGAATGGAATATGTACATAAATGCATGTGCATGACGTTATAGAATTTTGTCATAAAATCATAAGACCCATATATTCAAAAAGAAAAGAGAACATATCAAAGTAAAAATGAAGGATTCGAGATCTCAGCTGGCGAAAGATCAAAAAGATCATCATAGGTTGATGCACTTCCCTAATAACTCTTTTTGGAGTTCAAATATGTAAATAATGGTGAATGTTACCAAGCAATGGTGCAATGTAATCATGACTACCAAAAAGAAATGAAGCTTATGCATAGAAGATGACTGAATAATTGTGAATGTTACATAAGTGAATTATATTAAGAGAATCAAAATATTTAAAGATACAAAATCATACCTGGACTGGTTCTGAAATCATCTACTAAACTTTCTCGTTACACATCTTCTTATATAAAGTATGGTTTTCAAAGTTAATAACTCACGAGATCGTGACTCGTGTCAAATATTTCGATCTAAGATTTTGCCATGTGTCAAATATATTGTCCTTTTAAATAAAAAAAAAGTAAAAAGATAATTATAAGAAAATTATAAATGTAAACAGTTTTAAAATGTAAAAAGCTAATTATAAAGAAATTGTACCTATATTTCCATAAGAGATTTTGCCATCTAACAACCAAAATTTTTGTTTTTAACAAATTAAAAATTGTTAAAACATAATTATAACAAAATTATAAATTTAAACAGTTAGATCATAGTAAGAAAACTATATGTATATTTAAAGAAATCATATGTATATTTTCCATAAAAATAAAAATTATAAAATTATGCTAAATATTTTATTTATAAGTTACTAATTGTATAAGAAAAAAAAATTTAAAAATAGAAAAAAGGATTAAGGAAATTATACAATCAGTAATTATTTATATTAAAAAAATGTAAATTATCACCTTTATATAAACAATAAGTTGTCTCATATTTTCTCACCAAGTAAACTAATTTCTTCACACACCACCAATGTTTTAACTTCGTTTTATTGGTAAAACTTTTTTTTTGTTATAAATATTTTTAGGATAATATAAGTAACTAACAATTGACTCAAAAAATATTAAGGAAATAGCCATGAGTTAAAAAAGTTTTGGAAACTAACGTTTTTCAGATATGTGAAAATTCAAAATGGGTCTCAAACAAAAGACAAACATACAACTGCGTATTCTAATTTAGAGAAAAAAACATGAAATAAATACTAATAACACGAAAAATCTGAAGAAAAAAAATCAATATTAGAATTCTGACGACGAATTAGAGACATCCAACAATGTCATTTAATAAAATAGAATGTCATACTGAAAGAAATAGGAGTAACATGTGATTGTTATGGAGGTGATGATGGTGGTGGCAGATGGTTACGGAGGTGGTGATTGGATGATTTTAAAAAATAACATGATCATGTAAAAATTACATGCATTTATCATTTGTTGTAAATATATCATGTCAAATATTAAAACAAACACTGTGAATTACGATGGTTTTCTAAAAATATCATTTGATATTCAAAACCAAAAAATATATGGCAATGGGGGCAAATTAAGAATTATGAACGGCGATGGACATAAACTAGAGTTGTTGTCAGGGCTTCGCCTGATGTCGGATAAGATAAAAAAAAAGTGGAGTAATAAGAGAAGTTGGGGAAAAAGGAGAAGAAGCGATTACAGTGGTGTTAGTGTTGATGATGGTTGTTCAAGCTTGGTGGTGGTGGCGGCGATAAATATTGATGAAGATGGTGGATCGAAATTAGCGAGATTCGGTATTGATGGTGGTAGTGATTGTAATAGTAGTGAGATTCATTTGTGGTGGTGGGTCAGAGTAGTGAGACTAGGTGGTGATGTCCGACGAAGGAAAGAAATGGAGATAGGGGAAAAAAGAGGGAAAGAATGAGAGTGAAAGAGGAGTTCAAGCAAAAATAAGAGAAATCTAATGAGAAAAATAGAAAGATTTGAGAATTTATCGCCGGCGAGCGGAAGGAATAAAGAGAAAACGAAAAATGGGTAATATGAGCCAAAATTGACAATGTCACGTAACTATATAATTTCATCTTTTCTTATTGTCACAGTTTATTTCCATCTCGCATACATTGAAATTATAAGATGTAAAACAACTCTTCCGAAGGATGTAAATAACTTATTAAAATTCAATAATACAACCTATGAACATTTATGACTTCATAACTTATAATAAGCAAAAAAAATTATATAATTTTATAAATAGGTCAATATTTATATTAGATGATTTAATAATTAGTATAACATAACTACAAATATTGTTTTATACTGCACAATATGTATTATAAATGAAAGTGCTGCATTATCTAAAATATATATGTTTATATAATTTTAGTTATGCTTACAAAAATAAAATTAAAAGTTAAGAATTATAATTTCGACCGGCAACCCGTGCAACGCACTGGTCCATATCTAGTATTATATAAAGTGAACACAAGGAATATCAGGAGTCTTCTCTACTCTCAATGGAGGAAATCATCCATGTCAGCATAATTTTTCTTTCTGTGGGACCAGGGACGGCCCAAACGAATTTGGTGGCTGAAGCAAAAAAAAAAATTTTAGCCCATTAACAGACACTAATTTTTCCTTTTAACAAAAAAATGCAAATCTATGGTTCGAACTCGTCACATTAAAGGAGCATAAAGGCAAACATTACCACTGCACCACCACAGCTTACCAGTAATTGATGCCCCATAAATACTTAATAAACTTTGGCGTCTAAAGCCCTTGCTTCACGGGCTTTAGCCCATGACCGGCTCTGTGTGGGACCTACATATCTTATTTGTTATAACTTAAAAACTAAAATTAATTATTACATTTTATATTATCTTTCATTAAAGAAACCAATAAGTCACAAAATATGAAGGAAAAAATGACTAATATAAATTTAATTTTTATCTTTCCTCTAATCATTTATTCTCCGCTCAAAAACTTTGGTTCAAAAAAACTCTCCTAGACACGAGTCTCGGAAAACCTGAAAGAAGCAAATAGTTTCAAAAATTATAGATCTTAACCACTTTTTTTTAGCTATTTTCGGAAGTTTTTACTCTTTCTTTTGTCGAGTCGAAGCTTCCCTTCCCTGAGATTCTTCTGATGGTTTTCTCCCTGGCTAGCCTCTCCTCTTCTTCCCCTGGCTCCTCCCGTTAGATTTCTATCTGTCTTTTTCTTTGTTACCTGCCTTCACTTTTCAACCTGCATTTTCTCAAAGTGGTAACGAGATGGTTTCATCTTTGACCCTCTCAGTCAAAGGCATTGTCTTGTCTCTTTACGGTTCTTGGGTTTCTCCTCAAGCTGTTATCTTTTGAATGTAAAGAAAGATCTTCATCTCCCCCGAAGATCTTCCTGCAAAAGCAGAGACTCATTGCTTTTTATCTCACTCTTTCTAGCTTTAAGCTAAGATCTGTCCTTCTTTGTTTAATTCTTTTCTTTCACAATGTCAAAGAAAGAAAGACCAAGCTAGCACAGGGAATCTCCTCCCGAAGCAAGCTCCCTTTGTCTTTGAGCTTGAGGATGAAAATGATGTGGTGATTCTCCCCCAAGTGGATAACACAGTTCTGTTAGCCCGTCTCCAACTTAGCCTTGTAGGGCGAATGTTCCATAAAGGTGGATGCAGTATCAAAGACTTGGTAGCTCTTCTCCCTAAAGAGCACATATGGGATGTTGAAGGACGGGTCCGTGGAGACTCTCTCGGTGACTTTCTCATATGAGAAAAGTATTGAGCCATCAAACATAGGTCGTACATGTTACCCCGACAAGGAACAAACCTCTCTAATTGATCGTAGAACTTCTCAAGGTGTTGAGCAGACCACATCGTTGGTATCTAACTCTCAATTAACAATATTAGACCATATTGTATCTCCTTCTAGGGCGAAACAAGGAACTTCTTCCCCTGCTCTTATTAGGGAACAAAGGTAAAGGTATCCATTTCAAACAAAGGTAAAGGCAAAGCTGTCGACCTTTCCTATCAAACTCTAGGGGATTCTTGGAGACTGGCAGTTCAACAAAAAAGTCTTTGAATTTCGATAATTTTGCCTCGTCGTCGGCATTAATTCAGGTGTCGAAGGAACCACAACCCACAATCTCTCTTGCTACCTTGTCTCTAGAGCCTCAAACAGAGAAAAAAAAGAGCTAGTATGAGCTGAACTTGAATGAGGATGAAGTGAATGCGGGTTTGTCTACAACTATTCTAGATACAATTTTAGCGGCAAAATTCCCTCAAGCGGTAGAATTCTCCAGTCCGTCTGAAGCTCATCAGCCACGATCTTTGATTCCATCTTCACCGGTACTAGAAGAAGGCTAGGATTTGACTTACAGCCGTTGTCGGAGGCATTAAACCTTGACTGGACGGCAGAGGACGAAGCTGCTTATCATTCCTTGGAATCCCCTCTCCTAGATGAGACGACTGAGTTTGATGAAGAAGATTTGTTAGGAAAGGAATTCCTAGAGAACCTTCTGGCTAGATCAGATTCACAGATTCAGGGATCACACCGGGGAATCAAGGGTTCAACTGTGATCTTCCTTTGGTGAACCCAACGCCCTCTGTTCCCAAATCAAAAAAGAAAGATACAAAAAAGAAGGTGGAGGCCCAATTGCGAAAAGCCCAAGGAAATCCGGGCCTGCTGGTCAATGCTACTTTGAAGAAAATACAAAACATTAAGGAGAGATCCCCGAGTAAGAGACTGGCCTCCAAAAATGGTTTGACAAGACCTAGATCATCTAGGAGATGTGTCGCATGTACTCTCTAGTTTTTTTTTTTTTTTTTATCAAAAACTAAAAATGACCATGAGCATCTTTAGAATATGCAAGTGTCTTTAGATTTTGATTCTCTTTAAAATGTTGAATCTATTGGTAATAGTGGTGGTCTTGCTCTTATGTATTCGAAAGACTATCCGGTTAAGTTTGTTTCTGTGAGTGATCGGCTTATTGATATTGAAACAATTATTGATGGAAACCGAGTTTTTATTACTTTTATCTATGGAGATCCGGTAGTTCAATACCGAGAATTAGTTTGGGAATGCTTGACGCATATTGGCATTATCCGCTCTAATCCATAGTTTATGATTGGTGACTTTAACAAGATTACCGAAAATCATCAGAATAGGGGGGCGGGGGTAAACGTAGATCTGAATCCTCCTTCCTCCGTTTCCATTGCATGATTGGAAATTGTGGGATGATCGAGATCCCATCTCATGGGAGCTTGTTTTCATTTCTGGGGAGACGTAGTTGTGGAGTTGCGGACCGAAAAGTTCGAAGACTTATCAAATCACGGTTGGATAGAGCTTTGGGTAATGAAGAATCACATTCTATTTTTTTCCACACCAATGTGGAGTATTTGAAATTAGGGGTTCTGATCATAGACCCCTCCTCGTCTCAATCCAGAACAGTTCTCACCGGTTTGTTAAACATTTCATCTTCGATAAGAGATGGATTGATAAACCTGGTTTTAAAGAATAGGTCGTTCAAGGTTGGGCTTTTTCTCGTAAGAATGTGTTTTTTTTTTCTTGCAAAAAATTACAAATTGTAGGAGAAAAATTAAAAATTACAATAGGTCGTTTAATTCTGAAATTTATGGTATTTTATGAGAAATAGAGGTTAGTAATTCCAAAATTTATGGTATTTTATTGTTTGAGATTATAAGTAAAATTAAGTAGTAGTTCTCCTTTCTTTGTGCATTGATGAAATGTAAACGTTATTGGATAATACTGTTATTTGAAAAAAGGTATTGGAAACTCTAACTTTAGTGGATTGTTTTTGAAAATTGTATGAACAATACATTAATTAGCAAAATGGACAAAACTCAATTGAAAAATTTAGCAAGAGTATAGTAATATTTTCATTCTAGCAACCCTATACCCAAATTTAACATATATAAACTCAGTTTTATACCTACTAAAGGAATATCCACAAGAACTATAAACTTCCTAATCCTCTCACATTAGATGATGGAATAAGAGTACAAGACTTTTAACTACAAACTAAAAAAAAAATCAGAGGCCATCTATATTCTTGGCTTATAAGTAAAACACCGCTTTTTCGCGGGAAAGCTTCAACTACCCTCTTCAGTTATTTACTCGATCATCAAATAGTGTGCTTCGATGGCCATCTCCATCTCCAAATGCATCATCTCATAATGGTCAACTGTGTGTAGCAACTTAACTCAATTCATTTTATTTTATTTTTATAAAAACAATCTTCAAATAACGAGAGTGAATGAAACTATCACTCAAGGTTTATAAAACCTTTTAATCTTTGATGATTAAAATAAACCATTACAGCAAAAGTTTTTCTTTATTGGTAACAAAACTAGAGGTTCATGAATTTGAGGTTATCTGAATAAGAATTTTTGGGTTCACCCCTAGGGGCGAATCTCTCTTATTCACCTCTTTTTAGTTAGCCAATCAAAATTTACTATGTAATATAATTAAACAAATTAAAACAAAGAATATCATCTAAATAAAAAATATTAATTCATTAAAACCCCCTAAATTGAATTAATTGTAAACTCTAAACCATAACCATTCTTTTATAAACCCAAACCGACAAATACTTTCATTTAATTGTAAAATCTAAACATTAACCCCTCTTTTATACACCCAAACCGACATATAATTTCATTTAATTTTAAAATCTAAACTCTAACGACCGTTTTATAAACCCTAACCGACATATAATTTTGTTTAATTGGAAAATCTAAACTCTAATCACTCTTTTATAAACTCAAACCGACAGATAATTTCGTTTAATTGTAAAATCTAAACCATAATTCACATATGTAAACCCAAACCAACATATAATTTTGTTTAATTATAAATCTAAATTCTAATCGCTCTTTATAAACCTAAACCGACTATAATTTAGTTTAATTGTAAAATCTAAAGCCTAGTTCATATTTAATTATTATTATTATTATTATTATTTTTTTTTGTCGTCTTAGATTAAAATCAAAGAAGAAGTTTGCAAAAACAGAGATAAATCAAAAACAGAGCAACTTAAAAAGACAAAACAGAGCAAGAGAAAACCAATCAACGTCGACCTCGCCGCTCGTCCTCAATCCGGTTGTGAAGCCAAGCCGGACCACCTCGTGCTAAGTAAGATGTAAACCGTCCTTCTCGAGTAACACTACAAGCAATCTCCCTAGCCAAAAAATTGGCTTTCGGTGAAGAGAGGTGAAAACTAACCTCCCGCATCACCCGTATTACCTGTTGTATCTTTATAAGCTGAGAACGGTATTTAGGGTAAACTTCTGGTCTTCGTAAAGCATCAATAGCCGCACCACAATCTGACCATATTTAATTATTTATAAACCCAAATCGATATATAATTAACCTCGTTTAATTGAAAATATACAGATTTTGTTTTCTTAAATTTGTTGTTTTCTGATTTTAATTTTGATTTATGTTGAGAGTAGACAAAAATGAAGGAACAGAGTAATAATAATGAGAACAAAAATGTCGAAACACACAAGAAATCAAAAACCCCAGAAATATCCCACACAAATAGACGAAACAATTAACAAACTTTGGCTGCTTTGTCTTAAATCTGAATCGTCCTTATTCGTCCTAATCAATGACACCGTTTTGCTTCTTCTTCTTCTTCTCTCCATCTTTTTAATTGATGGACATAAATCGATTTTGAGAATTTTCTTAGGAAATTTCTTGAGTTTCTCGTAAAATCTTCTTCTTTTGTGCTCAATTCAAGGTTTTTTGAATAATGGGTAACAGAGTAATCTGCATGAAGAAGAAAGATGTTGTTATCAGAAGTGGAGGAGATGGATCCAGAAGCAAGAGAGTGAATCGTTCACAAAGGAAGTTGCTTGCTGATGAAGAGAGTTTGCATCGAAGAGCTTTGTCTATGGCTATTCATCAAGCTCAGGTTTCTCAGAGATTTGATGGATCCATGTCTAGACGTATCGGTTCCACTAGCTCTAGAAGAGGAACACTCTCTGACCCATTTGCTAATAACAAACAGGTCCAAGCTTTTTTTATATAATAATGATAAAGTTTGGATTTTTATACTATTTTTCTTGTTCCTCTAATTTTATAATGATTAGAAGATTTCTTGATTGGAAGTGAGTGTTGCTTTTTGAGACATGAGAGGAGAAATCTGTAACTTTGAGGAGAGAATTCAAAAGTGTTTAAAGGTTTAAAATTTGATATTGACATTAGGTTGGGACCAAAAGAACAGAACAAGTGTTCTCAAAAGGTCTTGTAGTGGCTTTGCTTTTTAAATGTTTAAATTGTGTTGTTGTCATATTACTTAATAGGTCTGTCTAGTTTTGATTAGAACAAAGATGGAGAAAAGAAGCTTCTTTTTTGGAGAAAGCAGAGAACTTTGTTCGTGTAAATGTCACTTCGTTGTAATTGAGACTGCCTATTGCTATGAGACACCAGGTCTCTAGAGATCAGTACACATTTTATGTTTGACTTTACTGATGCTAGTATCTTTTTATCGTTCGTTGACTGTTCTCAAAAGTTCTTGTAGACTTGTAGTGGCTTTGCTTTTTAAAAAGTTTACATAGTTGTTGTCATATTACTCTACGGGTCTGTCTTGTTGTGGTTAGAACAAAAAGTGAAGAAAGAAGCTTCTTTATGGTTACTGAAAGCAGATGACTTTTCTCTAACACTGGAGACTTTGTTCAGGATTGTTCCTGTCTGTCACACAAAAATGTCATTGCTTTGTGATTGACAATACATGTTACTATGAGATTAGGAAACATTTTTTAAGTTCAGTTTTAGTGATGCTATTTATATTTTTTTTTCTCTTTAGGTACCTGAGTTTTTGGAGAGCTTGACGGTTAAGAAATTCGTTTTGGTTCATGGTGAAGGGTTTGGGGCATGGTGTTGGTACAAAACTATTGCTTCATTGGAAGAGTCTGGACTATTTCCTGTGACAGTTGACCTGGCTGGATCTGGATTTAATATGACAGACGCGAATAGCGTTTCCACGTTAGAAGAATATTCAAAGCCGTTGATCGAGCTCCTTCAAAATCTTCCCGAGGAAGAAAAGGTTAGAAAATGCTCCATATAGAGAGTTAGATATATGTCGGAACTTGTAAGGAGCTGTCAATGTCTTACTACATTGAACCTCAGATGTTTTGGTTTCTTTAAAATTTGGGTCAGTTTTGTAATATGAACTTGGAAGGATTTATCATAGGCTTGTCTGGCTGTGACAGATGAAGAGTTGTGACAGCTATAAAATCAAGTTATGCGATCTTTTGTGTGTTATTGTAAGATCAAATACTCGGTTTCTTGGAAGGCGTTTTCCATTGGAGTTTCCTAAGGAAGGCTTACAATTTCAATGTGAATTCTAGTGTCATCTTGATTTTCCATTTTGAATATACTTGTGTGAATCAATGAGTGTTGATTGTTGTAGGTAATTCTGGTGGGTCACAGTACTGGAGGTGCATGTGTTTCGTATGCGTTAGAGCGGTTTCCAGAGAAAATCTCAAAAGCTATATTCATATGTGCAACTATGGTTACTGATGGACAAAGACCCTTTGATGTCTTTGCTGATGAGGTAACACTAGCAAAATTTCATTTACACATGCTTCTTGAACGTATTTTGATCTCTTAATCTCATTAAGATACATAAATAACTTAAGGATACAAAAAGATTTACATTTCTCTGTTTGAAAAAGATACAGATTTGTTTAGAAATCATAAGTGGAGTCATTTGATTCCAATGCAACCAATACTTATGTAATAAGCTTTTCCGCGACCGTGTGGATACAAATTAATGAAAAAGTCTGTAGTTAGCTCTCTTCTCATCTTGTGAATGTTCCTTGTTTCTGTGTTTGCCCTCACACTTTGGAAACTGTCTTCATTGCAGCTTGGTTCTGCCGAACGGTTCATGAAAGAGTCGCAGTTCCTGATCTATGGAAACGGCAAAGACAAGCCCGCGACGGGGTTCATGTTTGAGAAACAACACATGAAAGGCTTGTACTTCAATCAGTCACCCAATAAGGTAAACTCTTACAATAATAAATCTAAGTGATCAGCAACAGCCCCAATCTAGAGTGGTTCAAGTTCTGTTTTTATAGATAGATCTAATGCAACAAGTGATCAATTTTTATGTTTTAAAAATGTTTTAAGGACATTGCATTGTCGATGATATCGATGCGGCCTGTACCATTTGGTCCCATGATGGAGAAGCTGTCACTTAGTGCAGAAAGATATGGGAAAGGTCGAAGATTCTACGTTCAGACGCTCGATGACTTGGCTCTTTCACCGGACGTTCAAGAGAAACTGGTCAGAGAGAATAGTCCTGAAGCAGTTTTTAAGATCAAAGGAAGTGATCATTGCCCTTTCTTCTCTAAACCTCAGTCTCTTCACAAGATCCTTCTTGAGATAGCTCAGATTCCTTAAAAAAGACACAAATCTTGAATTCAGAATGTATAATACTTTCATTTTTTTTCCTACACGTTTGTATATTCTTATTTACGATTAATATACAAAACAAGATTATTGTTAGAGATTATTTAGCGTAATTGCATTCAATGGCAAAAACTTAAAAATTAATTAAATAAATGGCTAAGGAACAATAGGAACAATGGGTGATTTTTTTTTTTATACACCTAATAAGGTGCATGTTGAAAGCAAATGGTCTTCCTACAAAATACTTGATTATCCTGTTATTAATAAAGTTCAACAGTGCAGGGCCATGTAAACATCATTTGTCTATTGTATCAAATTTAAAAATTTATTAGTTGTTTTATGCTTTTATTTAATTATTTTTATACTTTATCTATTATGACTAACTCACTTACTAATCTTCAAAATCAGCCTCCAAACTCACCACCTTTTTTGACAGAAAAACGGCCAAAATCAACCCGAACATTTTGTCATGTACACTTTCACACTTCAACATCAATAGAATGCATTTTTCAACCCAAACCGTTGTTAAATTCAAATTTCATACATGAATTACTAAACATGATGCGAAAACCAACAATGAGTTAGACGATGTCAGCCAACCGTTAATTTTTAATAACTAAGCTGCCACTGGATAGTTGACGTGGCATGTGAATGGTTTAAAATGACGTCGTTTTGCTATGGTGCGTACGTAGACTCAAAACAACGTCGTTTTTTCATGAATATATATAATAAAATTTTTAAATATTATTATTGAAACTTGATTTATTTTACACACTTAAAACGACGTCGTTTTGAGTCTATGTACACCATAATTAAAACGAGGTCATTTTGATTCTATGTACACATCTTAGCCAAAACGACGTCGTTTTAAACCATTCATGTGTCATGTCAACTGTCGAGTGGCACCTCAGTCATCAAACATTAACGGTGGACTTACATGGTTAAGTTAATGTTGATTTTCGCATAATGTGTACTAATTCAGGTATGAAATTTGAATTTAATAACAGTTTAGATTGAAAAACGCATGTATTAGAGTTTATGTATACTCCGAACCTGTATTTATGATGAAAGAATAAAAGACTATGAAATTACATTGAATTTCATCATGTTTTTGTTTTTTTTTTTGCATATATAAGTGACTAATACAGGGTTAATGACATCTGTATTTGAGAGCGATATGTGTTTCGAATAGGTAATAAAGGATTAAAGAAATCTGTCTATGAGAGTAATGTGTTTATATATGTTGTTTCGAATAGATACAGAGATTGATCTATAGTGTTTGTGTATTAACAAAACTTCGAAAAAATCCAAATATCTATATTGAGAAACTTTATAGGTTTTCTTTGATACCAACATAAGCATAGACTTTGTTGGATTTATTTGATAACATTTTTGATTAGTTTGTCAAGAATAATAAGATCAAAAATAGATCTTATATCTCCCTCTTGAAATTGCAAAAATGTGCCATCAAATCTCTAAAGATGAGAATGATAAGAACCATTAATGTGTATTATAAAAGTAAATCCCAGAAAAACCTCTAAGTTGAAACATTTTCCCAACTAAAACCTATAACTTTTTTCGTTTCCATATAAAACCTCCAAGTTGGTCAAGCATTACCACCATCCGCCACACTCGTATTGCAAACTACAGTAAGAGGAATCAAGATGAATGTTTTATTTGCACTAGATTTTCCCGATTTTTTTAGGAAGAGAGTACAATTAGTACCTTCTGAATCTTTGATTGCAAATTCATTTTTTGTTTTAAATAGTATCTCGTCATTTATTTCCCTTGATTTGGGAGCATTTGAAAAGTTTAATGTCCTAGCTAAAAGAAAAATTAAGGGAAGTCTAAGCGTGAGGGAAACAACTCTGGCGCCTAATAAGAACCAACTACTACATACACACTTTTTGATGAGAAATCATGTTGTTTTTCTAATTTTTTTGTATCAGCATTTCAAGGATTGTCTACATACTTGATTATTGGTTTCACTTGTGGAGACGAGCTTGAAGAAGGCAAAGAAACCCTAGAGGAGTTTTTGGCAGAGGCATGTCCAGATTTCTTAAAAACGCTGCTTGATCAATGTGACAATAGGCTCGTTTTGTTTGATAACAAAACCCCAAATTGTCACAAAAAACACCAGCAGGTCCAGAAGTTTCTCACCCTTGTTGACTCGATTGCAAGAGACCCTTTTACAGGCCGATCAACTGTAAAGATGAGAATGATAAGAACCATTAATGCGTATTTTAAATAATATTTAACCATTTGTTAAGAGATTGTATGATCTTGAAGGTGATAAGTGAGAAGGACTATATATGTCATTTCTAGATAACAATGCCGTGAAAAGTACTTCAAGCACTTGAAACAATCTTTTAATTCAAACCACCATACATGTCTTGCAAAAACATTGGGGTATACGAGGTATAATTTTGAAATTTGTACCATTTTTTTTAGTTGTTAGTTTCTTTATGAATCACTAGATAAGGCCCGCCTATTTCTAAATATAAATTTTTAACAATAGTATTTGAATTTTGCAATACAGTTTAACTATCTATTTCATCATATTAAACTCGATTATAATTCTACACACTTCATCTTAAGTGATAACAATTTTATATCAAAATAATATTTAAATCAGATCAAATCTATATCTTAGTTAATATTAAAAATAATTAACAATTAACAAAATATAATTAATAAAAAAACAGAAATCCGCAAAAAAGATTTGAAAAACAAATATTTTTTAAAATATTTTTTTTTATATATGGCGTAATCTCGTAAGTTAATTTTACCTAATGCAAACTAATTTTAAATCAGTTAAAATTAAAAAAATAAAAATATACTAACTTCTCATTAAGAAATTGAAAAGTCAATCCTATAAGCTATTTTTCCAAAAAATTTGTGTTTTCACTTATGACTACATGCGTTGAAATTCTTAGAATAAAACATAAGTATAAGTAAGAAGATTGCGGTAACACATCAAAAGATGCAAGCCCCTCCATCATAGGATGCGTTAAAATTCATAGAATAAAACATAAGTATTCAAAAATTTATTCTCATAAGCTCATTAATTTTTTTAATTTTTTTTTTATATTTTAATTTAACGAATGAAAACACTATATTACAATGATACATACAATTTCATCCAATTCTCTTAAATTAATGTTAAATAAATTATATTGTTATTTTAAACTTCAATGGCCTTTTTAATTAGTTATTATCAACACTAAATGTTTTTTTTTAAAATTAATATAAGCTAAATTTAATTGACCAATAACACATGTAAAAACAAATATGTTAATTTTCCAATTGGTTAAGAAAAGAAATTCTTAGAATAAAACATAAGTATAAGTAAGAAGCTTGCGGTATCACATCAAAAGATGCAAGCCCCTCCATCATAGGATGCGTTAAAATTCTTAAAATAAAACATAAGTATTCAAAGATTTATTCTCATAAACTCATTAATTTTTTTTAATTTTTTTTATATTATAATTTAATGAATGAAAACACTATATTACAATGATACATACAATTTCATCCAATTCTCTTAAATTAATGATAAATAAATAATATTGTTATTTTAAATCTCTATTCTAAAATTTGAAACTACTATTAGCAAAAGAGAAATTATATAAAGTCTTATAAATACGTAAAATATATATATATATATATATATATATATATTTGCATTCGATAAAAAATATTTTTAATACAACAAAGACTAATTAGTTAATACTCTGGTAAATTACTTTCGGATTCACCAATATGGTTGAAATATTGTCCAAGTAAAACCAAACGAAGTAGATGGAGGAGGAGCTTGTTGGCCCAAATAGCAGAAGATGATGATATCCGGTGTATATATAACTCAAAATTCAAATTCATGTGGTTGAACAGTGACAAAGTTTCAAATGTGTAGTTATAGTTCGAGTCTCAACTTTGATGGAGCTGAGGTCAGAAACTAAAATTTCCGTGGGAATACAACTCGATAACCCTATCAGATTTTCTTTGTTTACTATTCCTTCACACATATATTGTTACTTTCAGTTTTCAAAAACTTATTTGCCTACTTTTGTGTCATAACAAGAAGCTTATGCAAACTAGACCTCTATGGTTTTTTGAGAGGTTGTATATTTGGTATTATTGCTCTTTTGATATGTTTGCTTTTGCAGATTGAATCAAATTAACCACTCAAGTACACAACATTTCTCCGCTCTTACCGCCTTCTATTTATGATGGTGGATGGTTAATTTATCATATTCTTCATGCTCTACTCTTGGGAGTGAAGTCCACTTTTCTACCAATTTCGAGTCACCACTCTATCTTCCTTTTCCATGTGTAAGTCTAGAATAGGAATGGTACTTATTGTGGACAAAAAGCAAAAGGTACCAAGTTTACTGTTATAAAAATCGAAAGAAAACAAAGGAAGAGAGTACGAAACTGACAATATTATGGTAATGTGTTGTGAGATGAAAACATAGACGTGATGCTGAGTTTGGTTATGGTGATAAATTCGATGATGATGAAGAAGAATATGTGAAGCCATTTTTTGGGGAGGTAAAAATTAGAGACTTTTATAGCAATTGTGTTCGCTCTTGTTGAGATTTGTGGACACTTTATGCAACCTAACTAATTATAAAACCTGGCCATATCCAGATCCTTTCATTCATATTCTCCTAGTTTATTTCCAACGTTTCATGCAGGGAAAAATTGTATTGATTAATTTGCTATAGGCGAAAAAGTGGCCCAAGATTAGAAAGTTTGTTATTTACAAGAAAGTTTTTAAAAAGGGTGTCAAAGTGAGAGTCTCTCTATAATCAATTCATATCCCAAACCATTTGTTTTTTCCTTGATATATCCTTGCATTTAGTTCGTCTGTATGGTGGTCTTCGATATAAATTGCTCATAGATTCTTAGCCATAATAGTACACAAGATATCACCCAAAAATATATATAAAACTTCCCTAAACTTCTATTCAGAAACAAAATCCTAAAATATTTTCCCGAACTATTTTGTTATGTTTATTAAGTTCTGTGTAACTATAAAAGTTAAGTCATGTTTATAAAATCCTAAAAATATTTTGGTATGTTTAAAAA